CAAAAACCTTGCCACACAAACCCAATACAGCTTCAGATAGTTTTCAAGATAAGACCTTAACAGGTATATGAATAATAACAGTGAGAGGTATAAATTTTATTTTACTGTGTTCACTATGTTGGGTTTTTTTAAGATTTTATTTTTTAAATACTCATGATATTTATCAGTTTTTCCACATTTGCTCTGCCTCAATATGTGTAATTCACAGTTTCAGCAGAATGTTTTCCTCCAAACGTATTAGAAAAACAATGGGTAATTTTTAGGAATGCTCCTCCCTTGCTCTTGGAAGACCTCCTAGTCATTCAGATGCAGACCAGTACACTGGACATGCTTCCAGACCTGTATAATTCCTCTTAGTGCAACTGCCCTGGGTTGACACCCCATCTTTATCTATCAGACAGAGTCACGGCTAATAGAACTGTCATGGCTAATAGAACTCCTTATAAGCTTAGAATGGTGTCCATATGAAAAAGCAATACTGTTTGCACTAGAAAAAGCTATGCTGTTGTGAGGAGATAAATTTCATACCTCTATTTTGAAGACTTAAAAAGTGGAAATACAATTTCTAGATAATAATGTGGAATATTTCCTCTTTTCTTCCACCCTTAGGATTTGCATTTATACAACACCCAAGTTTAATGTTCGAACAGGAAGTGAAGACTCTGTACAACAGCATTCTTTCTGATAAGAACTGTTCAGTAAACTTAAAAATACAGGTGTTAAAAAACCTTCAGACCTACTTGCAGGAGGAGGATACACGTATGCAGCAGGCAGACAGAGACTGTAAGTGTTGAGTTCTTCTGTACTAATGAGGCATGCATAAACCTAACTTTCTTGCATACAATTACTGTATACGTGAACTGAGTCGGTCTAAGATTATCTAATCAATAATATTGTACACAAAGTATTTTTTTCAAAAAGTATTTTTTTCCAAAACTCATTATGTGCATAGGTATATTGAGAAGTGTAGCTTATTATTTACTTTCAAGATGTATAAATCCTGAAAGCAATCCAGAATGAATAATTGCTATAATGACGGTAGTTATACTTTTTATCAAAATCTTCTCTAAGGTTGGTTTGCAGATACAAAATAAGAAATTTTAAAAATTAAAACCTTTATTGAGGAACAAGACTTTAAACTCGTGTGTCTGGTTTTTTGAAATATATTTGCCATCAGACTCTTCTGTTTCATGGGATCATAAACCCATTCTAAGACAGCTGAAATGTGTATGTATTGTAAAGCTTAAAGATCCGTATGCATCAAGTAATGGCAAAGTAAATGATTATACTGTGGTGAGTGTGCTATTGCTTTTGTCCTTTTTACAGGGAAAAAAGTAGCAAAGCAGGAAGACCTGAAAGAAATGGGTGATATTTCCTCAGGGATGAGTAGTTCCATCATGCAGCTATATCTCAAACAGGTCCTTGAGGCTTTCTTTCATACCCAGTCCAGTGTACGCCACTTTGCTCTAAATGTCATTGCACTGACGTTAAACCAGGGTCTCATCCATCCTGTTCAGGTATGGTAGGCTTTTATGATGGGGGTTTTTATTATTCAGGTTTTCAGAGGTTTTTATGCTTGCTAGATACATCTCTAGTTTTTTTCTTCCAGATGTGTTACAGTAATTTCCTATTGTAGCAAGGGGCCTTTACAGAAAGCATATTTTGAAATCTGTTTTATGTTGTTTAGCCAGTGAGATTCCACATGCTGTATTTTCTTCTCTTTGGATCAAGATGAAAAAGCCCAGCCAGTGCCTAAAGAGCACTTACAAATGTGCATTGGAGCATATTTCTGTTATACTTGTAAATTTCAGGTGTATGCCAAGTTGTTTTCTTTATTTGATTCTTTATCCTGAAAGCTGTGTCAGCTTGCCTCCACCTCAATCCCATGTCCTCCAAACACTATAGAATTCCAGAATCAATGTCAGAACTTCTCATTGCAGCCTTCCAGTACTTAAAGGGAGCTTATAAGAAAGATGGGGACACACTTTTTAGCAGGGCCTGTAGCGTTAGGACAAGGGGTAATGGTTTTAAACTAAAAGAGGGTAGATTTAGACTAGATATAAGGAAGAAATGTTTCACGAGGGTATTAAAACACTGGCACAGGTTGCCCTGAGAGGTGGTAGATGCCCCATCCCTGGACACATTCAAGGTCAAGTTGGAGGGGGCTCTGAGCAACCTGATCTAGTTGAAGATGTCCCTGGTCATTGCAGGGGGGTTGGACTAGATGACCTTAAAAGGTCCCTTCCAACCCAAACTATTCTATGATTCTATGATTCAGTTATCACCTCCATTATTCTTTGCTTACATAATATTTTTGTAATTATTTGTTTATACCACAGCCATTGTGCATGTTCAGTCATAAGCATTGCTTGCTTTTTTTTTTAAATGGCATTTTTTATAGTGTAAATTGACTTTAGAGTTTGAGAGAAATGGAAATACTACCTGAAACCTCACACAACTTGTATTGTTTATAATGCTGGTCTCTCATGTATTTTGTACTATTTGCTTGCAACAAGTAGTCAGGTAGTAAGTTGCATAGAGCTTCCTATTCTAGTTTCTGCAGTAGTCAGAATATAACAAGAACAACAGTGTAATAGAAGAACAAAGAGTGAGAAAGAGGAGGTACAATGACTCTGAATAATCATTTCATTTGTTTTTCAAGTGTGTGCCATACTTAATTGCTATGGGCACAGATCCAGAGCCCTCTATGCGAAACAAAGCTGACCAGCAGTTGGTGGAAATAGACAAAAAATATGCTGGGTTCATTCACGTAAGTAATTCTAATTTATCATTTTACAAAATACTGTTACGTTCTCTGGTGACTTAACACTTGAATAGGTCTCAGATGCAGAAAAAGAATATAAACTAACAATTAAACAATAACTATAAGCAGT